CTTTCACTGGTTGCCTGAAGGCTGTTGAGGTCCTGCTAACATACAGTATATTAAATGTGTGAGAGGACTACATGCTTCTCACTGTATGTCACAGTTCCATTCAATTAAGCAAACATTTGTTGAGTTCCCACTACAAAACAGTGTAGTTGTTGGTCTTAGAAAACTGATTGCTGTAATAGAAACAACCCATTATTTCAACTAATAAACAGTCATCTTTTTAGTAATTAATATATTTTTTAAATCCTTTCCTTTTGAAGTTATTAACTTATGGCTTACTAGAAATACTATCTTGCTGTTTTGGGATATATATGGGCATACTTAATAAATTTTCATTAAAAATAGTAGCTAAGCACAAGAAACTCATGTCCATTAATATTCAAATAGTATTTAAAGGTAAAGTTTATCATTACAAATCTGTCATGTCAAAAATTGTGGCTTATATTTTCTCTTTGTCGCCTATCTTAGGAGTCTCGTTGCTGTCCCTTATCCAAATCATTTTTAACCATTCATGGGAGTGTGACCATGGTCCCTTTTGAGAATCCCTTAAAAGCTATGGGACTTCTTAACCTGAAAAATGCATATGCTCACATACATACACACAGTATATGACATATATTTTCTAGAGATTGATAGGTTGAGAAGCACTACATTAAATGCTACGAGTAAGAATGCACAAATTTCAGAAAATACAACCTATGAAATTAAAACTCATCTTGGAAATTAAGAGATGATCTTTCTAGGAATTATGCTGTGGATTTAGTTTTTCAGCCGAATTACTGATAAATTTATATTCTGTTGCAGATATGTGGTTGCAATTTGCCCCTGTGATGGAAAAGAACTTGTTAGGCCAGACTCATGATAAATTTAGCATGAATTTAGGTCAGAATATTAGGGCTTTTCTAAGCATGACCATATGTGACAGTGATCCATGACATATATATATTACAGCTTTGTTAAGGCTGAGGCTGCTATTGCAATGGACACATTACAATCCTAAGATATCTTTTTAAAAGTAATTGAGTTCCGTTATCTTTCTGTGCTTCGGGGTCCTGGAGTAGCTCAGAAGAGTTGCTGCCTTGTGTTTGCCTTTGGAGCATTTCCAAAGCAGAACAGGTGATATCATAAACATATCCCAGTCTTGCCATTTGGGGTAAGCAAGTGGCTGTATGTGGTGGCTCCTTCTGGATGTAAATTGGTTTTAATGATTTCTTTCTTTCTCCTGGGCAGGATTTATGTGGGCATCATTCATGTGACACCCTGGGAATGGCAGACGTTGGGACCATATGTTCTCCAGAGCGCAGCTGTGCTGTGATTGAAGACGATGGCCTCCATGCAGCTTTCACCGTGGCTCACGAAATTGGTATGCGGCGCCTTTTCTCTTCCCTCGCCAAATCAAACACTTGTAACAGCTGCAACAGGAACCAAAATACTTGGCAATTAATTCCAGATTTCTCCTGGTTCAGATGTACCATTGGGGATTAAATTTGTTTATATTTGCACTTTTAGGGTTAACTGAAACGGGAGAGGGAAGGCAAAGTCAGCAACACAGTAGATGTTTCCTTCTGATTGTGTCATTTGAAAATGTAAGAGAACTTCACTACAGCTACTGTCTTCTTACTGTCATTTTAAGCATCCCTAAATGTCTCCTAGACGAAATTTGTCACAGTCAACTGTGAAATGCAGAGATGTCCATCTTAGAAGTTATTAAAGACAGTATTGACTCATCCAGGGCTAATCAGTGTGCACAAAAGTTTAACATGTTTTGTTTCATTATGAGTGAAAATTGTAGGCTCTTGTCAAAGGTAGTCAATTGCTTATGGTACATATTTCTGTCTCATTCGTAATAGCAAGGCAAATGAAACCAAGCCTAACACTCGACAGAGTTTGTTTTAAAATGTCATTTGCCCAATTTGTTTGTTATAAGAAACATATTTGCCCAATTTGTTTGTTATAAGAAACACATCTAAATCCTACAACTATAAATATAGGACTCAGTTGATTGCTAAAAAATAGCCTGAAAATAAGGAATATGAGCTTTCTAATCATTGGTCTGGGCTACTAGGTGTGTGAGAAATTTGCTTAGTACTCTTAGGACTAGATGTTAGACACATCTGGACTCAATTCTTGCTAAAGTACTTTCTATCTATGTAATGTTGGTCTAATTATTTAGACTCTCTAAATTTCAGTTTTCATGTCTGAGATACAGGGAGATAGTGCCTATTTCATGAAGCTGTTTTAAGGATCAAATTGGGTAGAGTTTAGATAGTAGGTATTATTTATATTCCTGTGTATTTCTT